TTACCAGTGGTTGATTACACCACCAGTAGGCCCAGTAGGCATGCATCATGTAGCCAGGGGGTCGTCATACCCTTTTTTTGGGAAAAGTTTCACATCACAGATTTTCATAGACTGTTCAGGCAGTTTGTTTTTTTTGTCACCACCAAAAAGGCCCCTTAATTTTAAACGTCATCCCTGGTAAGGAAACCAAGACTGTTTGAAACCACAGATTAGTTACATTGTTTCTATCTCGTTCTCAAACCAGCTTAAACCACGACTTTTGCTGGATGGACCATCGTTGTCGCTGCTCAAACCCTCTTTTTCGATTTTTCTCAGGTCAAAATCACCATTGGAGCAAGAAATATGAATCCATATTTAATCATTTAACAAGTTCAAACACATGTCACATAGTCACATCATGTGCTTCTTGTGGTTTCATTAGAATTATATACAATTACTGGTTGGTGGTATACCTACCCCTCTGAAAAATGATGGAGTTCGTCAGTTGGGATGATGACATTCCCAATATATGGAAAGTCATAATCCATTCATGTTCCAAACTACCAACCAGTATATAGATCTATTAAGTCCATATTAAGATATACTAAGTCCCATTAACCCATATTAAGTCCCTATTGTTGATGGTTTAAATGTTCCAAACCACCAACCAAATGTGATCATGGCCCCATGGGCTGCAAATGGCTAAGCGCGTGTGTGGCCCCAATCTGCGGATTCACCCAGAGTCCCAGGCAAGGGTGGCCGATGATGAATTCCCCTACTGATGACATCATCAAATTCCCGGAAAGTCCGCTAAATCAACACTAAATCATGATCAGTCAGCATTCAATCCCATTCAGTTCCCACTAAATCAAAACTAAATCCCACTAAATCCCTACTAAATCCAACTAAAACACCATTAAAATCCATTAAATCGTATTAAGTAGCCATAAATCCCCTTTTTTCATCGCCATGGCAACTTAAAAAACACCTCCGCCCTGCCGCCGACACCTGCGAGACATTCACCACCAAACAGTCCAGCTGAATCAGCGACCCAACGGATTCAGCGCGAATCCTACGGTGACCGCGGTGAGTCGCAACGCGCAATGAAAAACGCAGGAAGCAACAGGGGATGCAGCGACCAGTCCAGAATTTATATGAGGTATGTGAGAAAACCTGAGGAAATATGAATGATTGTGAATGAAACAGTCTGAGCATGTTTGCACGGGGTTTATATTTTGACATTTTGAACGTGTGAATTATTGATACTCACTGGGCCTAGTGAAAATAAACACACAAACCCAACGTAAATATGATGTTAAACATCTGCAACGCACGTGTCTGGTCACTGAGAGACGTTGGGACAATCCCCAAGTACGGACACAAGAAGAAGAAGAAGAAGAAGAGAAGAAGAAGAAGAAGAAAAGAAGAACACCAACACCGCCACCACCACCACCAGCAACAACAACAACAACAGCAGCAGTAGCAGCAAAAGGTCTCGGAAAGTCATGATAACACAATGTTGAAGGACATTATTCAACTACATATGCCAGGAGCAGGTTGCATTTAAACCCCTGATGATCCCATGTTTAAACTGAGATCATCATCCGCCCAAAAACGTATGGAAAGCTTAAAGCAGATTTGCAAGCACCTGCAGCCTGCAGCCTGTATTAACCCAGTGATGTAAACATACGGGCGAACACCTCGTTTTGCCCGCGCCTGTTGGCCCGCCTTCTTCGTATGAGCTGAAAACGTGGTAAAAATTGTATATTTTAGCATTATAGTTAACTTGATGTTCTAGATCAGAATGCACAGGATATGGACCTGTGCGGGTTCGTTCCGCATCATCATCGTCGTCGTCGTCATCATCATCATCGTCATCATCATCATCAGCATCATCATCATCACCATCATCACTACCTTTGTTGATCTTCCCAATTAAACGTAAAGTTTAACGGGGTGGGGCTTTTTTATTCCCTAATGATCCTAATGGCCCTAATACCTTTGTTGATAGCCCCAATTGAATGTAAAGTTTAACGGGGGTGTGACTTTTTATATTCCTTACTACCCTTGTTGATCTTCCCAATTGATTGTAAAGTTTAACGGGGGTGTGACTTTTTATATTCCTTACTACCCTTGTTGATCTTCCCAATTGATTGTAAAGTTTAACCGGGGTGGGCCTTTTATATTCCCTGAAAACTGTGTTGATCTTCCCAATTGAATGTAAAGTTTCACAGGGGTGGGACTTTTATATTCCCTACTACTACCCGTATTGATCGTCCCAAGTCAAGCAGGGTGTGGGCGAAACGGGGTGTTTGCGCGTAAACATACTCCAACCATCCAAGTACCAACAACTCCAATGCCAATGACCAGTTCTCAATGCTAATCATGGCTAACCTGGGACTTCATGTTCAATTTTCCGGCTAAACATATGGGCTAACTAGCCAACCCAAGCCTTGGCAAGGAGGAATCCACAATAATAAACCATCGCCTATATGAAGTTGTTTGATGTTTATTGTTGGGTGTACCCCTACTTGGGATCATTTCGAATCGCACGGAAGTGATTCATGAAATGGTGGCGGTTTATAACTATGGACCCCACACTACCCACCATTCCAGTGAATGATCATCATGTTTGGCATGTTTTAGCGACAGCAATTTAAGGTACCCTCCGTAATCAAACATAGCAATGGAAAATCCCAAATGTACCCTCTGGTAAACAAACATAGCTATTGAACAGGGCCATTTATAGTGGATTTACCCATTAAAAATGGTGGATCTTTCCATAGTTATGCAAACGTTTACCAGAGGGTAGATGATTCTCCCAGCTTCAAACCTTCATTCATAGAGGATTTCCATGGATTTCCCAGCCATGTTTGAGGACATGGCTAAGGCTTCTAAGGTGGATCCCATCTGATTTTTTTTTCGTGCCCGACGCATCCCATGATCCCATTGATTATTGATGGCTATGACATGTCATATAACCACCATTACCCTCTGGTAAACGTTAACAAAGAACTATGGAAAATCACCATGTTTAATGGGTAAATATGGGTAAATCAACTATTTCTATGGCCATTTTCAATAGCTATGTTTGTTTACCAGAGGGTATTCCAAACAAACTCAATTCCAAACAAACCAAGGATCTGTCGCAAAGGGATGCTTTGCCCACTGCTACGGGGCATGAAACCTTGACAGGGCCGCTGGGTCTGGGGCGACTCCAGGCCGCGTAGCGCTGACTTGTGAAGATGTGATTGTTGTTGGGATATACCCTTTGGTAAGCTAACATAACTGTGGAAAATCACAATTTTTAATGGGTAAATATGGGTAAATCAACTATAAATGACCATTTTCAAGAGTTATGTTAGTTTACCAAAGGGTAAATAATGAGAAAGATCACATAGATAATGATGGATAAATCTCAATTTCTTTTGATCTCACATCCCTTGCCCTAAGAAAACGGGCCGCGATTTACAACTTACAACTAGCTGCAACGGTTGTTTATTGTTTGAAATCCACACAAAGGGAATATTGAACCCCGTGCTGGAGGGTTTGGAAATCATGGTCTTGAGTGTAGTTGCCTTTCTCCCAACAACTTCCAAATCAATTTGTCTGAAAATATCTGAAAATTGCATTTGATGGGTGATAATCATGTTCCCCATAAGGAAAAAACATTTTAGGGCATCCTCCACTTGATCCCAACTATCAAATCGTTGACTAGAAATATCCAATTGAGTTCCATTAATATCACATAAACTAAGTTCCACTAATATCCATTAATATCCATTGACTATATATATATATATCCATTAAGTATGAAAACTGGATGAGTCCTTTGGGGTGTCCGTTGCCCCGAGGTCTTGATCCAAGATGATCCAAGATGGTCCAAGCCACGCAAATCCCAAGGGTTCTTTAGCTTGGGTGGAACTCCAACTTCCTTCGGCATGGCACCGCCCTGTTCCTCCTGCTGTGCTGGAAAACCCTGGATCGCTAGGAATTTCGTGATCTATCATTGGATATGCCCGGATTCGTGGGATGATATGTATATACTATGTGCATTTTCTCCCTCTCTCTCTCTCTCTCTATCTCTCTTCATATACATTCATACATACATATATATATATATTTATATATGTATAGTATAGACGACCCCGAATATTCTATGATTGGACTTTCCATCCTGAAGTCCCCTTCTTTGCAGGAGCACTTGCAGAAATCTAGCTTTACGAACATGTCTGACACATGGCGTGTCACCTACATGTTTCACAGGCCAACCAGCGTCTCACACTCCCTTCGTACATGCACACATAACTACTCACAAGTGTCCAAGACGGGATACGCCATGCCACACACCAGCCCCAAACATCGACCATTTGAAGGCTAGTATAAATCATTCTGAGTGGGCTCATATACATAGCCCTTGTCCACTAGGGTTGTCCCATTGGATTTGGATACAAGCACCGAATGATACCGGTAACCAGGCATCCACACTACATACATCTATATATATATAACATCTATACGTGCTTACTATATAATCAAATATATATTATAAACATCTATACGTGCCTACTATATATATATATACGCACTATAGTCTACAAAGTAGTTCTAAGCATAATTTTACCCAAGATATAGTTCCAGCTAGGGGTATCCATCCTCACGATAACCCTAAATAAAGAGGACAAGGAGCCTCCTAAACTATAGAACGTAAAATCGTTTAAAATAATAATCCTAGCAACACCAGCCAACTGCGGGCAAGTACTTTGGAATTCCTTGAAAACTAGGCATACAGGGTGCATATCTAAAGGCCGATGTGATAGATTTCTCTGCCGGTGCCTCCCACGTTGGCTACATGGCCATGAATCAAAACCCCAATACCATATACCCTCTGGTTATTTAACATAGCCATGGAAGCCATGGCCCATTTATAGATGGTTTACCCAAAACAAAAAATGGTGGATCTTTCCAGTTCGCTATGTTAGTCATTACCAGAGGGTAATACCATCACAAACCACAAATATCGCTGGTAAATAAATGGCCTTCCCCATATCCCGAAATTCATTGGGGATTTCGCTTGGTTGTTGAATGGTCTTGATGCATCCCCAGATCTCCATCAACCTTACCATAACTGGTATCGGGAAGGGAATTCCTCTCCGAAAAGTGATTTGGAAATGATGTGTTTATACGTTTGAACCAAATATAGATAGATTGATTGATAGGTAGAGAGAGATATGTGTATATATATATATAAGATATTATAAGATTAAATAAGTTCATTGGTCATGTCTTTGTGCATTTATGGAAAGCCAACTGGATCATTGAATCAAATCCATTCAAACCCATTCAAAGTGCATAAAAGTTGGGATAGTTCCAACATAGCCATTGTAATTCATCCAGCTATCACCGACCCATTCAGCTAGTCCTTCTGCTTATTCACGCGCTGTCTCCAGCTCTGCACGGCATCACGTGCACGTGCTGGGCCCTCTGCGCGGTAGCTGCCATCGCGAAGAGGCTGCTCGGAATCGCAGACCTGTTGTCATGGGAGGTCTGAAATCCTATAGCTCCATGGTTAAATATAGGGATTTCCATGGTTAATAATGGTTATAACCATGGAATATATGGTAAATATATGGTAAATATAGGGATTTCCATTATTAATGGGCTGGCTGATGGTGCAATAACCATCTTGAAAAATGTGAGTTCATCAGTGGGGAAGGATTATCCCATATATGAAATGGAAAAATAAAAGCCATCTTTGAAACCACCAGAAGATGTCGCCTCAACCCCAAACACTCCGTTTGACACATCGTGGTTGACCATTTCCAACCTGGTAAGTATTCTGAGGCCTAGGGAAACAGCCCTTGATTTTGTTGGGTTGTTTGGGGTTTCCAAGCTCTGGTCTTTTAACAGTTTGCTATGGAAAATTGCAATTTTTTGATTTACCGATTAAACATTGTGAATTTCGATAGCTATGACTCTGAACAGAGGGTACCTAAATTAGAGGTGGTTAGTGGGTGGAAAGTCTACATACATATGCACAAGGGAATATCGACAATCGAACTTGGCCTTGCATGCAGAATCTGTGCCCTCAGCTGTGCCAAATCAGCCATTGCTTGGGGTGTTGTGATTTTCTTTAGGAACCCCAATGATATTGCATCATTGTAAAATAATTGCAGTCTATTACGATCAGGTTGCGGTAAGTGTATGACATTCTATGACATTATCTCCATATATATAACTCTATCATCATTGGGCCCCCTAAAAATACCGTAGAGTGGCGGTGGCCCTACCTATTTTAAGACAAGTCAATTGGAAACATGATCCCAGGTTAGGATTACAATCTATGGGCGAGAGGCACGTTTCACCCTAAACGGAACTTGTAGAGGATCCTCACTGGGTGTAACTATGACGATGTGTAAAAAATGGGAGGCGCAATTTGGGCCAAAGATTTGGAGATGTGGGATATCCAATTCGGGGGAGCCATGCTGAGAAAGTCTGAGAAGTGTGTGAGACTTGGAGACCCAAGGAACAACAATGAATTCATTGTCACTTCGAGGCTGGTTGTCAGCAGAATTTGCAACCAATGCCGATGCAAACAGGAACGGGATCCAAGCTACACAGCTTTGTGCACAGGGCTTATTCCAAAAGAAATGATGAGAAACGTAGGTCGGTGATTCCAAGATACATCGATGGTGCAAAAAAGATTCTAGCATATCGCAACCTGTTTTTACATCAAAAACAGGTTGGTCATATCTGGTCATAATAGTATCTGCTGTAATAGTCATTCATAGTCGTACTCATCCACTCTATGAGTATGACTCTTATGAGACGATAAAGAATAGTTGCACTCAACTCAAGAAAATCATTATATATATATATATACGTATATAATATAGTCATAATTGATATTCATGCCTACTATGGGTTATAGGAATCCCATATAAGCCAGGTAGTATAACTCCCTATTTCATCACCAATCAACCATGACTTTCATGGCTCATTTTTTAGCGGCGCCTCATAGAAAAACCGCTGGTATCGCAAGATGTTGCCCTCAATGGCGCTCAACAAGCTCTGGATGGACTGCTGATAGCTGATCATTCCATGAGCCTCCTTAGCGGCTTAGCGTGCCGATAGGATGGGCAAACACGTTGTTTTCATGGCGGGTTTATCTTACTTCTCCGGTGTGAAGACCTCTGAAGTGGAAACACATATGCTACAACTATATCCAAGAATTCAGGTGTCCCGGATTTTTTTTGAGGGATCCCACCTCAAATATTTCATGGTTGAAACCATTATTTTCTTGTGATCTACCCTTAAATCAATCTATTAAAGTTGAAAGTGGATTTGCTGAACTTCTAGAGAATGAAGAGCCACTATTGCACCGTCTGGCAAGAAAATTGCAGCTCTTCAATTCCAACACCTTATTGGGTTTATTGGTGCTTTCAACCACGAAGCCTCCTCAGAAAGGCGTAGAAAACAATAGAGCGAAACTGAAACCACCAACAAAAACTTTCGGCTAAATCCTGTAATGTGGCTAAAACAACGTCATAAACCACCCATTTGGGAATGGTTTATAGCACCTATTTAGGGTGTTGACTGGGGGATGGTTTAACCACATTAGTGTCTTTTCCCACCGATAAGGAAAGCAGCTTTGGGATGCTTTGAGGGCCCATCAAAAGACAACTCAGATAGTTTCTTTTGGGTCCTTGGGTCCCACCCCATCTTGGCGGTTTGGACCCTTCACAAACATATCAGTCATTGGGGATCATCATCATTAAACTTTAAGGCAATTTCGCACTGTCAATCCATCACCAAAGATCCTCCCTTCCACCAATTTTTGATGGCTAGGGGGGTAAATTTACAATTTCACTGCCTAATCTTTCGCAACATATACCCACATGCATATAATTATATATATATAGTATACCACCACAGAACTTACATCAATTTACTATACTCTATACTATATTATCCCAGATGACCCTGCACAACCTCCTACATTATTATAATAATGATCCCAATCGTAACCGATGTGTTGGAGGAGTTCAAAGACACTACAGGGTAGCTTGCTACGCACGCCCTCCGAGTCACTGGATCTTTGATCTCCTTCTTGCAGAACCTCAGCGGCGAAACCGCAACCACAGCAGGTCACTTAGATGCTCATCCATCCATGTGCAAAGCGATTTATAGCATCGAGGGAACTTACAACATCACAAGAATTGACAATGCAATACAATATATATATATATTATATACAATATATATATATATATTGTAGTATAAAATATATATATATATATATATATATATTATATATCAATTTGTCGGTGCCATCTAGTACCATGCATACCTATCCAGTCCTCCTCCTCCTCATCATCATCATCATCGTCATCATTGTCACCACCGTCAGAAAACTCCTTCCAGTGCAGGTCACATTTCCAGATCTTCCAGGTCGATGACAATCGTTCCGATGCGATTGTTCACCGCCTGCTGCAACATCGCCTGGTACCTCGGATGTTTTCGTGGGCCGTTCTCGGGCCCAATGCGTGGAAGGAAATGGGCCAAATGGGTAAAAGTGAACTTCAGCCAGAAGTATCAGGCACACATGTTGGTCACCTTGGCCCGTTGACTCACATAAAACATGACTGCTTTGGGAGGCCAGCAATCAACAAATAGTGCAAATTTAAACAACAATATCACGTACAGTGATATCAGTGATCGACGGCTGATTTACCATTTGTCATATGTTATCATGAAACCCAAACCTGATACCAATCGACTGCTTCCCCGATCCGAATCATCAGTTCCTTTTTCAAAAGCGATCGCTTTTTTGGCCGCTGTAAATCATTCAAATAAAGCAAAAGAACGATTAACTGGTTGGTGGTATACCTACCCCTCTGAAAAATATGAAAGTCAATGGGAAGGATGACATCCCATATATGAAATGGAAAAATAAAAGCCATGTTTCATGATTCTGGACATGGGACTCCCATGATCAAACCTCTGGAGGACAGCCAGTTTGAAGAGTCGCACAAAACAAAACAAAGGGGGGAAGGAAAGCGTTTGTCACCTCTGAAAACGTCTGGGAAAAAACTACACTGAAAACAACCACTTGCAAATCTGTGACCACAGGTTGTCCTACCAAGCCACCTTGTACAATAAATTCAATATAATATATATTATATATATGTATAATATAGATTATACTATACTCACTGGTGATCCCCTGACCCTAGTTGGTGAAAATTGGATTCCTGTTATGAATTATTGGAATGTATTACAGTATATGATACAGTATATGTCATATTTCTTAATAATGACATGTATTCATACACTCTATGATATGTCCAATTCAGGCCAGGCATTTCCTGGGCATTTCCTGGCCACCCTCCCAAAAATTGAGCCCGATGCCCGACTGACTCGCCATGCGACTTCTTCTTACCGTACTTGACGTCGTCACAAAGGGGGCTCTCATATTCCTTGATGAACTTCCTGATCAACGCCTTGTGATCCGCTGTTTGGTTGCAGACCTCCTTTGCCTGGCTGGTTTGGTCAACAAGCCGCCGATCTCAAAACATCTCAAAAGCACATACCCTCTGGTAATTCTCAAGTCACGTATCCTTGGACTCTACTTGAAGCCAGGTGCATCACAAGTCACACTTCATCAGCATACAATTGATCAACCCACTCAGGGTACCCTCCAGATAGCTGTGGAATATGCCCATTTAAAGAGATTTAGTATGTAACAGTATGTACCTTTTATAAAGGGAGCTATCTTAAATTGTATACCAAACGACAAATGCATGCATTGAATGATGTTGAGGCGGCGCAACTGTAGGAACATAGAAAAAGAAACTCATAACTGGGGCAGAAACAACTGTTCTGGAACTGCTGAGATGGGTGATGTTCTGGAACCCAAACCATAAACCATCCCCGAGGACTTACCAAACGTGCATAGTGGAAGTACCAATCCCGAGATGTCATTGGGTTTCCGCATTATTACTTGGCCAACCTTGGATATATTGCTGCGTAAGCAATTGATGAGTCTATTGTTCCATCAAAACTAGAAATACAATGATCCACCATGATCCACCCACCCACCCTTCACCAAGATTAACCTAACATATTCTGAGTTTGCATCCTACCTTTTGCATGGTTGACATCCTACCGATATCCATTCTATTATTGGTCGCACCACCCCACCCAAAAAAAATGGTAAAAAACACTCACAGATAAACTCAACCCAGCATACCTTACACAACTGTTGGTGGACAGTGATAGCCCATGTTGATTGGTTTGGTTTATACCCCATCATTGCTGACTGTATAGTGCTGGCTGCAGTATGCCTTGCACCAAAACGGTGTTGTCCCAACATTTGGTAGTCCAAACACCATTATCATCATGCCCCCAGTAAGATTGCAATATCTTGGGGGTATGTTTACCCCATGTCTGGGAAACCCAAATATCGTAAAATTACATGTTGTTGCTAAAACATGCTAGAACTAGCTATCCACTGTTCATTGGTCAATGTCAACTAGCTAAAATTAGCCCAAAATAGTGGTACCGTACATCAATTTACTCTTAAAATTGGAAACCCCCCTTGCTATCCATTTCAACTGGTAGCAGCTCCTCGTCCAGGCTTTTCTTAGCGATGGCATCCCGAATCTGCGCCATGACGAAAAGGTGAACTCAGTGCGGAACAGAGTTTTTTCGGCGCCCGGGAGAAGGGGGTTACCACATGGGCCAATGGGTTACCTCAATCTAGCTCCAACATGCTCCAACATGCTAAGTCTATCATGGGGATCCTGAGGTTGTTCCGAAAAGAAATGCTACAGTAAGTATATGATTATACCGAATTATACCCATAATTAGGTTCCATGGTGCTGCTATATATATGGTGTGCCATGAATCCCATCAATATACCCCCAGTCATGTTAGCAGTTAGCATATATATACCAGCACCAGCCGGATCCGTCATGGCATATGCCAGTTTCACCATCAGTGGCCACCTCCGGTGGATCATGGTGGATCCATAGGGATCCCCATGGATCAGTGGCCACCGCTGCCAGGGTACCAGTTCCGCAACGCGAGGCAACGGGCTGGGTCGAGTTTGAACCACTGAAGTGACTCAAAAATGTGCACAACACCAGCCATGAAAGTGTAAATTTCTGCTCAAACTGCACCCAAAACCATTTGTGGTAGGGTTCGATCCCTGAATTGGCACAGTATCCCTTCTCGCTGGTTGCCTGAGTTGCCTGCGATATTTACCCTCAGATGGCATTCTCATTGAAAGATTTCTGGCTTACATCCCGAATTGTCCTAAATGGTTTACACCTCAAATGTTGATCATAGCTCCATTTGACCAAGGATTAGTTTCCACACAGTTTTTCACCCAGCCATATGGTGAAATCCGCCATGTTTTTTCATACACACTAGCCGTTACTCAAAGATGCTGGAAAATCGGGAAATTTTCATGGAATCACCTAGACATGAAATGACATGAATATCCAGGGATTATCCATCAGGCGAGGTTTGAAATCCCCGTTTCTGTTTGCATTAAATCTCTATTTGACTATTTGCTTGGTTAGTCTCATTTTCTTGCAACATTGCCAATCCTAGATCTCCTGCCACACAAAGAGCTGCTTTGGAAAAATCGCCCCACCAAACTGGCCAACAAATGTCACTACCTGCAACACCTTAAGATCCTTAACGTTAAGCCATCTTTTAGGTGGCGGGTTGCCTGAAGTCTTGCTCTTAAACCCACCTTTCATGGTTCTCTTCACCGTTCAACCACCCCACACCTGACGCGGGCGCCGCTGAGCTTGCAGAGCTAGTGGAGCGCGCGGAGCCGGGGAGTGAAGGTCGGGTGGCCAGCATGGATGGCACCTTAAGGTCGGTCGCCCTAAATCCCTCACAATTTTCCATCAACCACGTGCCATTTCGGAATACAAATGATACAAAATCCATGTTCGCCATATTTTTCGGAGCTGGTGAATGGTAACTTATGGCAACTTAGGCTTATTTGGTTGCATTGTTCATCTAGTTCATATATGTTCATATCATTTTTCCCCACCTGCCAGGATCAGGTGAGGGTCTCTAGATTTTACCCTCTGGTAATGACTAACATACTATTGAAAATGGCCCATGTATAGTTGATTTACCTATGAAAGATGGTGATTTTCCATAGCTATGTTAGTTTACCAGAGGGTAACAAAGGTGCAACTCCTCCTCTTCCTTCCCTCGCCTGTTCTTCTCGTCTACTTCTGTGCCAGCTTGTCGCCGAACCTGATATCGCGAGCTCCGGACGCTATGGCCTGCGCCTGGCCCCGAATAGAGAGAATGGCAGAAGAGAATGCCAGATAGAATGTCAGAGTATATGAGTATATGCCAGAAAGAATGTCAGGTAGAATGTCAGAAAATAATACCATCAGCTACCTGGCAGGGACCCTGGATATTACACTGAGACCCTAAAAACGGGGTCTGAAGAAGAGTTACATAGCTAAATCACGAAAAACAATCTCAATGGTCTAGACCCTTGGACCTTACAGATGCTGAAGGTCTGAAGACGTTTACCCATGCGTCAAAAATACAAAAAAATGTTCCAAACAACATGTTTTCTCTCGCTCATTTTTTTCTTCGCTGCTGTCACACGTTTTTCACCAGTGCTCTTGGGCTCTTGCCATAAACATCCACACTTCAGGAATGGTGCAAATCAGAAAAATTCTGAAAATTTTAGATTTTAATTAAATTTAAATCTAAATTAAATATAATATTTTCAGAAAAACTTTGAAAAATTCAAAAAAAATCTGAAAATTTCAGATTTTCAGAAAAAAAATGAAAAATTCAGAAAAATTCTGAAAATTTCAGATTTTCAGAAAAAATGTGAAAAATTCATAAAATTTCTGAAAATTTCAGATTTTCAGAAAATATGTGAAAATCAGATTTCCAGAAAAAATCTGAAAAAATAAGAAAAAATCTGAAAATTTCAGATTCTCAGAAAAAAAATGAAAAATCCAGAGAAAATCTGAAAATTTCAGATTTTCAGAAAAAAATCTGAAAAATTCAGAACAAATCTGAAAATTTCAAATTTTAAGAAAAAAATGAAAAAATCAGAAAAATCTGAAAATTTCAGGTTTTCAGAAAAAAATCTGAAAATTTCAGAAAAAAATACTTTACTTCGTGTGATCCCCACCATGACATTTATACATGTTCTTACTGGCACATCTTCTGGCATTCTATCTGACATATCTTCTGACATTCTATTTGGCATTCTATCTGGCATATCTTCTGGCATAATCTTCTGGCATTCTATCTGGCATATCTTCTGGCATTCTATCTGACATATCTTCTGGCATTCTATCTGGCATTCTATCTGGCATATCTTCTGGCATTCTGACATATCTTCTGGCATTCTATCTGGCATATCTTCTGGCATTTCTTCTGGCATATCTATCTGGCATATCTTCTGGCATATTTTCTGGCATTCTATCTGGCAAATCTTCTGGCATTCTATCTGGCATTCTATCTGGCTTATCTTCTGGCATATTATCTGGCATTCTATCTGGCATATCTTCTGGCATATCTTCTGGCATATCTTCTGACATTCTTTCTGACATTTTTTCTAACTTTCTTCTGCACATTCTTTGTCCCATATCTTCCTACATGAGGTCCGGCAGGGAACACTTGGCGTGGATACTCGCGGTTGAGGTCCGGCAGGGAACACTTGGCATGGATACTCGCAGATGAGGTCCGGCAGGGAACACTGGGCGTGGCTGGTCGTGGTTGAGGTCCGGCAGGGAACACTGGGCGTGGGTGGTCGTGGTTGAGGTCCGGCAGAGAACACTGTGGATCGCGGGTCGCAGTTAAGCAAGGACGACGAGGACGACGAGGACGACGAGGACGACGAGGACGACAAGGACGACAAGGATGACAAGGAGGACGAGGAGGACGAGGAGGAGAGGAGGAGGAGGAGGAGGACGAGGCAGGAGTCAGGAGGAGGCAGGAGGAGGCAACTGACATAAAATCTAACAACCCTCACCTGGCAGGTGGGGAAAAATCAGAAAAAATCTAAAAAATTCAGATTTTCAAAAAAAAATCTGAAAAAAATCAGAAAAAATTGAAAACATCAATAAGAATCTGAAAATCTTATTTTTAAAAAAAATATCAGAAAAAATGAAAAATCAAAACAACATATAAATATATAATTTTCATAAATAAATCAAACTTACAAAAAAAAACTATTTTAATGCAAGTGAATATTGAAAATAAACTATGTTTCAAAAATACTACAAATTATATTAAGTCACTGAAAAATGGTGCCGGAGAGGCTATCCAGACCTTTGGGGGTCATTGGAAATCTATGGGTGCAAAAGTCTACAAATAAAATGCATTGGAAATCTAGTTGTGCAAAGGACTAGACCTAACATAGTTGGTCAAAAAAAACAGTCTTGATCAGTGCCAGAAAGGCTGTCCAGACCTTTGTACGACCTGGGGAATCTAGCGTGGCGAAGGTCTAGAAACACAATGGCCAGCAAAACCAATCTGTGTTGATCAAGGCCAGAAACGCTGCCCAGACCTTTGGACAAACTTTGGAATCTAGCTTGGCAAAGGTCTAGGGCTACAATGGTCAGCAAACCCAACCTGTATTGATCAGTGCCAGAAACGCTGTCCAGACCTCTGCAAGAACTGGGGAATCTAGCTTGGCAAAGGTCTAGAGCTACAATGGTCAGCAAAACCAACCTGTCCTGATGATTGCCAGAAAAGCTGTCCAGACCTTTGAAAAAACAAGATCTGCCTTACATCTTCAAAGTTGAAAATTATGGGACATCCATGTATCATGTCCAACATAGACACGCTCAAGGGTCTATAGTACCTTAAATGCAGAGGGTCTACAGTGCTCTAGGAAGTACTCTAGACCCTGGGCCCCTGAGGCCTGGAGGGTTGGGTACTCTAGACCTTATGTAGTTGAGGGGATAGAAAATATATGCCACAAATACTTCCAGATGGTATGTCAGAAACTATGTCAGAATAGTTTGTCAGGGTGGGGATAACTCGAACAAAGTAATTTGATGTAATTTGGCTATTTAAATAGCCTGTAGAGAAAAAAACAAACGACACTAACTTGCCATTCACCAAGATTTTCGCCTGAATGATATTCGTATATATTCGTATTTAAGCGCTGGAGTAATCTCCCTGCAAAATACGGCAAATATGCAACACATCTAATACGGATTAATACAGTAAGTATCATCAATGCACCTTGAGAGCGGAAAAGAAATGAAACCAGTTGAAACAACCAACCACTTATGGCTACACCTTAAGCGTCTGATTTGGTCAGCTGAAACGAAGACTCCACACATGTTGACCACCATGCAGAGCCACGTCAATAGCTTACGTGGACACGAAGAAGGGATGGAAAATGGTCGGGAAAACCATCTACTTACCTACTGTTGTTTAGGGTTTCAGGTGCCAATGATAGACTACTATTGGATTGTCCCAACTTTACCCAGAGTAACGATCCAAGCGCGGCTTGAAGCCCCAACAACTTGATCTAGCTACAAATCAATAGTGTAGCAAGTAGGCTGAAAAAGCTAGTTCATACTCAACATGAACAAAACATGTGTGCCATGATCAAAAAAATGATATTTATATACATATATACAACATTATGGTTTATGATCATCCTACCATCATGTGGGGTTCCCTATGATGGGTATATCAAACCCTAGGAATAGATAGATGACCATCCTGCAAGCAAGGTGCCATGGTTGGGTCGACGTAGATCTTGTCGCCCGGTGTCACCTAAGCTCACAATGCACAATGAAGTTGATTACTTGGGATGCAGTTCCAGCCGTTGGTACAAAGTGGGGCCCCATAGTTAGCTAAGTTGGTTTATAAGTCCCATAACTATGGTTTATGGCAGATATAACTATAGTTATTGGGGCTTATAAACCAACTTATAACTAGGGGGCCCCACATTGTAATATTAGACGTTTTCATGGGATATACAAACATAGCTGTGGGGCTTATATTGTGGTTATTCAAAATATTTATCATAGATACTATCAATAATATCCATTAATAGCAACTCAGTATGGTTGGTACCTGA